CGATTTTTGTCGGCGCAATTCGTTCTCACTAATAAGATTATGGAGTAACCTTTTGCCACAAGTATCACTTCTTGCAGTAAATCACACATCTGCTCCTTTTGAAGAATATGAATTCTGATTTTGGAAGTATGAAAACCATGTCCGTTTTATATGTCAGGGTTCAACACCGAAAGAATGTCGAATAAACTATTCTTAGGATGTGAAATCCAAGCCATGCCACTTGTTCGACTCTGTCCACGAGTGGTGGGCAAGCACGTGCCCACGGTGCACCGGCGACTGAAAAGTGAAGGCATCAATTACAATGCTGGTTTCGTGGGTTATCTGGAACGAGCGTAACACAAGGTTGTTTCAGTATAAGAGCGCACCTTCACAAATCCTACTCAACACCATCATCGATGAGACAAACCTTTGGGTCAAGGCCGGGGCGAAGAAATTAGGGTCTTTTTTATTGCAAGAATAATTGTTATGCCAATTCTTGGCTGTGTGTTGTAACAAACTCTTTCTCCTCCTTATTTGATATATGAGGCAAAGCTTTTGCCTCCGTTTCAAAAAATAATAATAAAATCCAAGCCATGCTCACATCCTATGGTATCCAGAAACCACATCAATTTCTCATCATTATATGGTCAGCTAAGATAAATGAATGAGATCTCAAGCTTACGGAATGAAGTATAAAAACACAACATCAAACACATATAAAGATGAAATAATCCAAGATAACACACCAGACATATTATAGTTACCACACTGTTAATCTTGATCCTTGGAGGCAAACCAAAACCATCCCTATGGTAAAAGTTTAAAAAGAACCACAAGTTTAGCATGACTCAAAGTTTTCAACTGAAGCATGATACTTCGTTGTATCGCACCAAGGCTCGGCTATATGCAAGAACTCCGCTTCGGCTTCACAATAGGGCGACGTCTACATCGACTACAGTTCACAGCAGACTGCGGAGACAAGCACCTTGCCAAGTTATTTCCCAAATATAAGCTCATGTAAATTTTATTAGAATCAGGTTCCTGCAATAGCAACAGAAGTACGCGTAAGTTCTAATAATATATATGAATCACATATAATATTTTCTCATAGCAGACAGCATTTAAGCAGAAAAAATATGACAAGTAAAAATATTCAGCGGCTACCTTGTTTACTGTAACACAAAAAATTCTGGCACTCGCAACAAACGATGAACCAAAACATATGAATTTACTAGAGAGAAGGTATGAATACATGAATTTTACTAGAGAGAAGACATGTACTAGCAAGTATTAGAAACAACAGACATAGCTTTGACATCGAGGGTAAATGACTGCCAATGCAGGTTACATATTTTTACTGGATTTGTTGATTCTCATCTAGATGAGAACTAAGAAAGTCTCACATAACTCCTACACTATTTGATTAACCAAACAAAAAAATAAACAAAAAAAATTCCCACAAATCTCCGGGTAAAATCCAACAGTGTAGGAGTTAGATGAGGCATAGTTAGTTCTCATATACTCCCTCCGTTCATAAATATAAGATGTTTTGGTAGTTCAAATTGAAATGCCAAAACGTCTTATATTTAGGAACAGAGTGAGTAGATGAGAGGTAGACACATCCATATTTTATTTCAGAAGAGCATGCAACAATCAGTCATTTTGTGGACCTTCAACAACCATTATGGTAGTCTGCATTCGACTCCACTAACGTATGTTTTAACATATGCATCATCAGCAACAACGCAGTTTCTTATACCTGGGTCATGTTTGACATTACCAACCTGATATGCTAGCAATACAGAATTATGATTTGTTATTGGATGAATGTAGAATAGCTAATTTCACATAATAACTTTATTTGTTTATTTTCCTCAAATACACATGACAAACTCTGGCAAAGTCACATTTATAAAGAACTTTGGCTGTGGCATGTCTGGCCCCTTTAAAGCAGCACAAACTGAGCATTTTCTTGATATCACAGCACTCAGCAAACAGGATTTCAACTCATAGAATAGCACTCAAACAAAATACCCATGCATTCTAAAGGATGACAGCAATTAAAATTTTATGACAGCTGACATGCAAGTTCTGATGAAATACTTCGACATGAAGGCATGTGAAACAATAGTAATTCTGTGAACTTAATGCTTTTTATTTCACAAGAGCATGAAACAATCAGTCATCCCGTGAACCTTCACCAACCATTAGAGCATGGTAGGCTGCATTGGACTCCACCAACGCATGTTTTAACATACACATTATCAGCAACAGTGCAATTTCTGATACCTGGGTCATGTTTGACATTACCAACCAGATATACTAGCACTACATAATTATGATCTGTTAATGTATGGATGTCGAATAGCTAATTTCAGGTCATAAAGGGTCATGAGTGCAGTGTTTCGGTGCCCAGGCTCATCTGCACCCGGTCAGAAAAAAATCACAAAAATTTTATAAAAAAAATCAATTTTTTTTGCATGGTAGAAAATTTAGCGCGCGAGGTCCGCTCCAATTTTCAAATCATTTGGGCATCTGAGAAGCTCTTGGCAAAAAAGACAAATCGGGTCAGAACAGCGCATGAACAGTAAACTTTTTTACAGACCCCAAATTTGTCTTTTTTGCCGAGAGCTACTCAGATGTCCAAATGATTTGAAAATTGGAGCGGACCTCATGCATCAAATTATCTACCAAGCAAATTTTCTTGGAATTTTTCTAGTATTTGTTTTGATTTTTTTCGTCAGCGGTTTATTTTCCTCAAATACAAATGACAAGCTCTGGCAATGTCACATTGATAAGGAACTTTGGCTGTGGCAAGGTTTGGCACCTTTAAAGCAGCAAACTGAGGATATCCCCGACATCACAGCAACTCAGCAAACAGGATTTCAATTCATAGAGTAACACTTAAACATACTACATGCTATCTAAAGGATGAAAACAATTAAAATTTATGACAGCTGAGAGTATATGTCATGCAAGTTGTGATCAAACAATTGTCAGCAAGAGAGCCAAGAGCAAGCATACCTTGGTGCATGATTCCATTGAACCTCAGTAGTCGCAGAACAAGCTTGGAAGCACCCACACCTGCGGCCTCCCGAAACCAACCCCTGGTTCACCTGGATACTGTGCAGGGAAGCATTTACAGGTCCCATCGACTAGAGAATACTCGCTCCACCCCCCACTCCATGGCAATGATCCATACACACAGTCGGCACGGATCCCTGGAACATCTGGACCAAGGCACGCGACAAAATCGTCATAGCCAATAAACAGCGTCCGCCCGCCGAGGCTCGTTATCATCACCCACTTCCCCACATTGAAGTCCCACTGGAAAATCTTGTATTCCGGATCGATGCGCCCCACCTTGCAGATAAGCAGGGGCTCGCCACCGCACTCCCCCAGCAATGATCCGCCTACGGTCTCCTTCAGAGTCTCTTCAAGATCCTCGTCGAATTCGCCTCCAAGCATCCACAGCTCCATGGTGTTGTCCTTGGGGAGCGAAGCCATCACGAGCCCGCAGGAGGGGAGGAGCCCGTAGAGGGCGCCGTTGACAATGCGCCAGTCCTGGATCTCAAAGTCGCCGCCGTAGGACGCGACGGCCCAGTGGGCGTACCAGAGGCTGCAGTACTGGATCTCGGTGCGGCCCTTCGCCGGGGCGAAGACGTAGCCGCCGCTGAGGATGACGCGGCTGTACTCCAGCGGGGGCCTGGGGAAGCGGGCCTGCGCGCCGGAGAGGAGGTCGGTGACGAGGATCTCGCCGGTGGCGCCGTCGACGGCGGCGACGCGGGCGCCGTCGGAGGTGAGGACGCCGCCGGTCCTGGCGAAGGGGAGGCGGGCGCGGAAGCGGAGGAGGCGGCGGTCGGGGACGTGGAAGAGGGCGAGCGAGAAGGCGGCGCAGCCGGGCTCGAGGACCTTGAAGAGGGACAGCGAGGGGTCGGCAGTGTGGGGCACGAGGAGGTGCGGCGGCTGGTTCGCGAGCAGGGCCCGGCAGTTGGGCAGCGCGGCGCGGTAGGCGCGGCAGCCGGCGCGCAGGGCGAAGAAGTCGTGCAGGCTCGTCAGGTGCTTCGCGATGTCCGGGACCAGCTCCGCGGGGATGTACGGCCCGCCGGCGTCTGCGTCGCCGTCGACGGGGGCGTTGGCGGGCAGATCTGGGCCGCCGTCGTTCGCGGCCATCCTCCTCCCTCCCTTCCTCCCTCGCCGCGACCAGCACAAGCTAATTTTATCGGAGTCGAACGAAGTCGCGAGATTTATGGTGGCAACGGCCGGCGGAGGAGGCGGCGGAGCCCGGCGGCGACGGCGCAAAAAGAGGGGAAACTGTCAAACCCTTCACCCACGTCGGCGCTTATGTGAGAGGGGAGAATTTCAGGTGCTCCCGAGCCTCCCGTGTTACCATGATACATGGATTTGTGGTCCGTCAGATCGGAGATCAACGGTTAGTGTTGATGAAGCCTCTAGGCCTGCGCAAAATTACGAGACTCTTCGAGGGGTTTTCTGCAATTTTGAGCCAGCTCTTCCTATGACCATCGGATCTTTGATCCAACGGACGACGAGGTCCTGTATCATCATAGCACGGGAGGTGCGGGAGCACATGGAAATCTCAAAATTATGTGGGAGGATTGTGCAATTTGTGTATGACATTTTCTGAAATTCTTTTATATCTTTTGAGAAAGGGGTTAAAATCCACCCACTGATCGTGTCGTTTACGCCAATGACGTAGGAAGTTGTTGGATCTGCTTTAGTCATGCGACATAGAGTGCACGCATCGGTGGCTTCGCCCACCGCCCAACCACCCACACACGTGTCTCATCAACCATCCGCACACACTTATCTGTGTCTCATCAACCATCCGCACACACTGATCCTCTCTATATCCATCATCATCCTTATCCTTCGATAAGCATTTGTCTTTCCCAAATGAACCTCACCCTCAGGCTTGCTCCCTTTCTTTCCATCCTCCTCCCGGAAGCTTCGAAGGCTGTCGACCCCTCTCTCCTCTCCTCTTTTTACCAAATAAGTTGTAAGACATGTGTAGAGGTAGCACTGCTGCAAAGAGCGGTAGGTTCGCAACATCGTTCATATTGAATTGGGCGACCACAACGTCGTTCGTGTTAGTAATGAGCGACTGCAACGCCGTCTGTGTTGCAATGGACGACCACAACGCTATTTGTGTTGCAATGAGCGACTACGAAGTGAATGGGCAACCACAGTGTCGCCTATGTTGCAATGGGTGACCCAATGTCGTTCATGTTGCAATGGGCAACCGCAACATCATCTGTGTTGCGATGGTGGCAGTGGAATGCACATGGGGACAGAGCCGATAGCCAGCAACACAAACGATCCTTTCCGAAGATCAATGCGTTGATGGTAGCGTCGACCATGGGAAACATTAACAAACAACCACTGATCACACCGAGCGATTTGCCGACTAGAGCGGTCGCCGCGTGTCCCTCGCGGGGCCCACACATCGCTTCCCCCATGTACCTTATCCCCAACATTGAGCACAACCACCCGTCGACCCTTTGTTTTTCCTCTTCGCCCAACCTCTTTTCTCCTTGGATCTCGTCCCCTACCTATTCTTTTCTCTTACTACTCTGGCAGCTCACGCTCGCGCATACCCCACAACCATCCAGCATCAGTAAGCAGATGTTGCAATGCAGCGCATGACTGCAAGCCTACCTTAGATAGACGATATTGCTTTGAGGGGCAGTTGCCATGTTGCGAGGTTGCCATCACACGTCGGTGTTGCAGAAGCGGCGCGGCATGGCAAAATATCTTTCTAGGCCATGACCAAGGAGAAGCGCTCGTTGGTGCTGCGACCTGACAGTCAATGCTGCAAGACAACGGTTGCATCCAACATTGCAACTGGCTTTCTCGATGAAGTTGCAAGCGCAACCGCCGGGGGAGGGGGAGGGGCAACATGGTCGGTGCAGCGAAAAGGGCTCGAGGGTTGTAACATCGCTGGGTTGCAACGTCGCTGGTGCCTTAGGCACATCACGGGGTTGCGACATAGTATGTGGTTCATGCACATCGATGCGTGCCTCATGCAATGATGATGACCGCAACATGGGAAATGTTGCAATGGCAACCACAAGGTTGTCCATATTGTGATGGGCGGCCACAACATTGTTCGTGTTGTGCTGGTGGTAGCCTGACCCAACCACTACGTGGGGTCAGATCTAGTGACTCGTAACCCGATTGATGTTTGGCAAAGATCAACTGGCCGATGCATTGTGCTGGCCTTTTAGATGGATCCAAGATTCCTCTTATGTAATAAACTAAAACATTTGGCATGTGCTTTGCCTTATTGGCTCGTATGTTACTTGTGCATCACTTGCTAAAAAACCTCCACCGTGAACTAGCTCCAACAATATTTTTGATTCAGTACAATCAACTGCTAGACGAAGAAGACCAACAATCGACCGACATTACCCAATCATCTCAAAGTGGACGAAAGCTTCAACAACCATGTAGCTCTCCCACAATCGTCGATGGTGAAGAAGCTTCCTCCTGCTCTCTCCCACTTGGCCAGACAGAGCTCGTCACACGTTTGTACACGACTCGATATGGCTACTTTTTTG